AGAGTGAAGGCAGAGGAGTACCACGGAGTCAGTGCAACAGTCTCCTCTAGGCAGGTGGCACCCACACAATCTCATAGGGTTTTTCCTTTTGAAGCAAACGTTGTGGAAGGCCGTGTGCCGAGCACCGTAGGCTGAGCGCTAGCATGCAGCCCTCCTATTCGGTCACTGGCACAGAGATGTTTGCACAACGTGTTTCAACCCAGCGGGGCACTGAGAGGCAGCCAGCCCTCAGCCACTCAGTCATGGAGGTTCTGACCATGACAGTAAGGCGTGACTCCAGCCAATCTCAAATCCACACGAAGAAGGTGGCCAGTAACCTGGGAGCCCTAAATAGGACCCAGCAAGCCCTTGGAATTCTTTCCCTGACACACCTGACTTCCTGGGTACATCTTTCAATTCATTAGCACCCAGACCCAGGGAGGCCGCCTCCGTGTGGGTCATAGAGGGAAGCTACATTTGTCATAAATAACCACCATGTAAAACTAGCCGCACCTCTCAGCAAGGGAGGAAGCTGGACCACTAAGTGGAACTTACTCGTAAGCAGCCTGTATTTGTCAAGCCCTGGGGTAAAGGCCGAAGGAAATTCCCGAGAACTAAGTGGCGGGCGCCTTACTGAGGCGCAGGGTTAGCCATAGAAACCGCAGGCGGAAATAGTCCAGCAGCTCGTATAGAACAGCTGTGTCTCCAGCTGAAGGCCTGGGGGTCAGAGTGGGTGCTTTCTGCTCTGGCTCCCTCAAGCCCTCTGTGGGGCTCCTCAGTGGAAGTATTTGTAGTGCAGGGCAGAGGTCAAATGACTGAAAATCTGTTTCCCTTATGAAGCTTTTCCTGCCCCCCCCATCTTATTTTCATCAAGCATTGTAATGCTTTTATCAATGATTAATTTAGCTTATATAAAACTGGGACCAGCAGATGGCGTAATGGTAATGTTGCTGGACTCCCATGTAGTCAACCATGGTTCGAGTCCCAGACCCAGCAGCTTAAAACTCACACCGGGCGTGTGTGGCGTGTGTGCCTGAGACACTGAGAGGAGAATGGAGAAGAAGGGATTGCGGCATGGCCATCCTTCTTGGGAGAGTAATTTCTTGCTTTCTTTCTCTTTTGGCAAGCACATGTGCCTCACAGCAAAAATATCTCTAAAAAAGTTTAAAAAAACCACACAACTGATTATCTCCTTTTGTCAATTTACATATTTTTTAAAGAGGTTTTTGCTATAGGGCGCGTGCGCTCACCAGAAAGACAGAGAGAGACAGAGAGACAGAAAGCGAGAAATCACCCCCCAGGGGGGATGGCCATGCCGCAATCCCTTCTCCCCCATTCTCCTCTCGGGATCTTGGGTATGCACACACACGCGTCTGGAGTGAGTTTAAGCCACCGGTTTCGGAACTCAAACCACAGTCAACTACATGGGAATCCGGTGACAGAGCCATTATGCTAACTGCTGGTCCCAGTGTATAGTTTTTAAAACATCTTTTAAACGTTGGCTAGAAAGATGTCTGGAAACACTGCTGACTGATGATGTTGAAACACAGAATCTCCTGGTTGACGAGGACGACGACTTCAGTACAGTCAGAGACGACATTGGGAAAGAAAACCAAAAGCAACGCGCAGTGGGGAGAAAGAAAAGGTAATTATTCGAGTTTCCACTGGAGATGCCATGCGTAGCCTCTAGGGGGCGCTCTGCTCTTTCTCCTGCTCAGACACTGCTGTGGGGTTCTGCTTGGTCAGGGCACTGCAAAGCCGGCAGTGGGGGGTCTCCTCCACACCCACACTTGGACACCTTACGGAGACTGCCTGCTCCGAGCATTCTGTGGAAGGAAACGTGGACACCAAGTCATCGTGAGGGTCCTCCCCTGCTCTGCCTTCTCCCGACAGGCACTTTGCACTGGCCGCCCTCCTTTGTCCGTTTCCTGGGCCTTTTTGTTTGGATTCCACCTCTCTTGGTGTCTGTCTTCCACGACCCTGAGTTCCTGCCCACCCTTCTCTCCTGGTAGGCTTGCTGACCCACCTCCTCCAGGGCGTCCCCAATACAGGTGTGTTGCAAGCTCCTCTCAAGCCCCTGGCCACCACTGGCTGCTCCCTATAGGGGCCCTTCCTCTGTCCTCTGTCTCCGCCTTACCCCTTCAAGCCATCTCCACTTTGGGGAGTCAGAACCCCCACCCCCAGGCCACACCCGCCTACCAGCCTCTCCACTAGGACATCTCACAGGGACTGCCAAGGTGTGAGGTTCCCTGGGCTGTCCCGGCCCACCCCACCTCTCCCCACCCTGGCCGAGGGACATCTCTGCGTGGCCATGCCAGAGGCCCTCTGGCGCCCCCCCATACACACTTGGCCTCAGTAACCCTGGCTCTCCCTGCGGCAGCCTCCCTCCTGTCCTAGCTGCCTCTGCCCTGGTGGGTTTTATCCTCTTCACCCAAACCCCTGCAGCAGCCTTCAGCCCCCCTCCTGGTCTACATCCCCCCTCAGGTGCCAACTTGCCAGGCAGCGAGGGGAGTGGCATGGTGGACAGGCAGGCAGGGCTGGCTGTGCAGGCCCCTGTGGCTGTGTGGTTAGGGTTTGGAGTGGGACTGACGTGACTGTCTCCTGCTCACTGAGACCTCCTGTACCCTCCCACTAAGAGATGCTCTTCCCACGGGCCCAGGCCTGGGCACCGTGGGCTGGCTCCATAAGCACCCAGGGGAGGGCGCCCCGCACATGTAAGCACAGTGGAGACCACTCCTGGGGGCTCCGAGGGCCGCTCTTGGGACCTGGCTGAGAGCAGAGGAAGCCCTGCGTCATGCCCCACAGGCCAGGATGTTAAGGACTCACGGGGCCGCGCATTATGGGGCGCACTCCACGGTGTCCCGTGTGCCGAGTGCCACGCCTTGTGTGCTGCGTGGATGCTGCACCTTCGTTTGTTATTGCCAGGGGTCTCTCACGCTCATCAGGGTGATGGGGTCGGGAGAGCACCCCAATGGCCAAACTGCAGCCTGCTGCATGGGCCGGCTCCCTAACCCTCTAGGCCCGGGTCCAGCCTAACCTCAGTTTGAGGCTGCTGTGGGAGACCCTCCCTCCTGGCAGGTGGGAAAAGCCAGGAGTCTGGCATGTGTGGTGGCCATGGGGAGCCCAGACCTCACCCTCAGGGACCTGCTAGTGTGAGGAGGGTAGCGGGCACTGGGCAGTTTCAAAATACCCGTGAAAATTGCAAACACATGTCTCTGGGACCTGTTCTAACTTGACTCCTACAAACTGGATGAAGTAGTCAGCGACAACCCTTGTCCCCACAGCCGGGAAGTCTCACGTGTGCAGAGCAGCGACACATTTCCCAGTCCGGAGACACCTGCGCGGCCTCGAGGACCGGAGGCTTCTCTTTCCATCCACGTCGGGAGTTTCCGATAGCACCGGGTTTGTGTCTGACCCGCAGCTTGCCTGCTAGCTCCAGGCCCCAGAACCTGCTCACCAGAGCAGTCATCTCAGGTCAGGCAGGGGCTCAGCAGGCGTTGCCCCCGACGTGGCCGCCTCGCACATGTCGTCTGTGGGAGCTCTCACTTGCCCCAGCTGCCCGGGTCTTTTTATTTTTAGAGCAATTTTTGCAATAGGGCAGGGCGTGCTCGCCAGTGAGAGCTCCCCCAGGGCGGGATGGCCATGCCGCAGTCCCTCCTCCATCCTCTCTGGATTTGAGGCAGCCATGTAGGGAGTTGGGGGTGCCAATACCACCTGCTGCCCCCAGCCCACTGTTAAAAACCGGACAGGTGTGCAGACTGCAGTGAGTGCAGCAGGTACCCTCCGTCTGCCCAGGTGGCTTGCACCAGCACTGCTTCCCTTGCTGTTCGGGTGGCAGTCACTGCCCACAGGCTGTGGTCGCTCCTGCCAGGCGGCTGGGGACTCAACTTCGTCCTGCGTTGTCCTCGCTAGAGCCAAGGTCCTGAAGCGTCAGCCGAGCCCCAGGGATGCCAGTGCTGGGACGTGACCTACGGCGCCTCAACCTCATCCCCTGGGCCCCTCGGGGAGCCAGGGCTGAGTGGTGACCATGTGGCAGGCCCCCTTTGCCCTGCAGGCCTGGCGGACCCTCAACCCAGGCCACTGCTAGAACATACACTGGGACTGGTTGATTTCCTTCTGGCTTAACCGAGGCAGCTGCTCAGTTGCATGGCCTCCACCGATGTGTTCTTGACATGCATAGCGACCCACGTGCCCTTGAGCAGGCGGAAGACACCAGGATGGTGGGCCTCCTGCCTGGGGATGCGCAGTCTTGCCCAGAACCCGTGAGTTCCCAGCAGCCCATGTCACCGGCCCTGCCCTCCCCAGCAGCGTGGCTGTCTTCTGTCGCTGATGCCGCAGCGACCCACTGTCCCCGTCTAGCTCTGTCCAGAGAAGCTCGTTTCTGGCCCCGCGTCTGAGCCCAGGTGACAAGCTGGGTTCAGCACAGGCAGTCACGGGCTGCTTTGGGGTTCAGACTGCATTGCTAGGGATATATGTGGAGAGGTCATGGTGACCCCAAAGCTGCCTGCCCTGCCGTGTAGACACCGGTCTGTGATCGATCTCAGTGCACCTTCGGCCCAGCTCAGGCTCGGGAATTGAGCACCAAGACGTTGCTTTGTAGAACCACAGCCCCCAACTCTGAACAGATGAGGTGGGCGGGCAGCCTGCCGTGGCCTGTGCCTTCCATTGCCCCTGCCCTTTGCCCCTTCCTAGCAAGGTTTTTTTAATTGGGGGAACAGAATGGGTTATATGGGGAGAAAGCTCTACGGTTTTGTTAAGGTAAAAATAAACAGTTTTCCAGTCGTGGGCCTGGGTCCCTGGGGCCTGCGACGCCCTGTCTCATGGAGGGAGGGAAGCTCCTGGTGCCAAACACAAGGCCATTGTGCGGCACCACAGGTGAATGCTGCTCAGGGAATGGCAGGTAGGTTTGGGTCCCCACTAGGTTCAGCTCCTGGGCAAATGGCACTGAAATCCAGAAAGCCAGGGAGCCGCCTTCTGGGGGAACAGGGCTGGCGGTGGGCTTGGGCTGCAGAAAACATTTACCCGACTGACACCCGGAAAGTGGGGGGGACAAAAATTACAGCTTCACAGATGTCGGGTTCCCTCTGGGGCAGGGCTCAGGACACAGGCGAGCCTGTCCTGGAAACTCGCTGGGCAGGAGAAAGCAGTGGCCTCCACTTGCAGCGAGGAAGAGCTGTCTCCAGGTCCTCTGTCCCCTGGGTCCCCCGAAAGCACAGGCGGCCTCTGCTCAGGCCACCATCCCAGGACAGCACAGCAAGTTGGCTGGGACCGTTCCCATGCAGGTGACTGACCCCAGCTCCGGCAGGCTGGGGCGAAACTCTCAAGTTCCCGCCTGGCTCTGAACGAGATCCCCAGGTCAAGCTTCCACCAGGCCAGACCCTGGACTCCCAAGGACAGTGGCGGGGCTTCCCAGCCGTGGTGCACCTTCCCCAGAAGCCAGGCGCCCCCAGCAGCTCATCCCACCCTGTCCCGGAGTGCCTCTTCCCAGGGGCCTGTGAGTCCTGGCCTCCACATCTGCAGGCCTCGCCACCAAAACGACAGCAGGGGCGAGTGGGCTGGTACCTCCTTGCCGGCTGTCACGGGCAAGTGGCCTCTAGAGCCTGCTTGGTCTGTGAAGTGTGGAGACCTCACAGGACTGATGGGGATTCGAGGAGGTAATACTCGTGTGAGGACTTAGGCCACAACTTGTCCTTAAGGTCTCACGAACACGCTGGCCACCAGCACCGTGACTGTCGGCGACCCAGACGCACTCTGCACTGCCTGCCCCCCCCCCCGGGGGCCCGTCACTGACCAGGGCGTCTGGGAA